AATATAATAGATCAGTCATACCATACATTCTTATGATGCTTTTCTTAGGTTAAATATTTTTAATATGTCTTTTTAGGTACTTTGTTATCTTTAAATACTTGGAGTTTGACTGACCTTAAAAATTTTCTTATGATGCTTTTCTTAGGTAAAATGGCTAGAAGCTTTAACTTATTGTGAGACACCTATTGTATAAGCAATCTTAGCATAAATAGTAAGGACCTTAGCATCCATGATTATGTTTATTATGACTTTCATATAACTTTTCATTTTTTCCCCTAAGATGATTAAACACGAACACATATGAAACATAACTCAAGACACACTCTTTGTGTGGCCATAATATTGCTCTTTGATGAGAAACACTTGTGCTCCCTAGCAAACAAAATTTCCCATCACTGACTAGACCATTTTAATACTTGTTTTTGTATTTAGACCTTGAATCACGTATTAGCACTTACCTGATTTTTTGTTTGTTTTGCCACGGATTCTCATCTATGTTTCCAACCTTTCTAAATTGTATTGTTGACCTTGTAACAACTGAAATAACTATAAGGAAGATCATGACCTCAAGCCAAGTTTGCTTCTTTAGCCAAAAAAGTCAAGACACTAGAATTAAAAAAGAGTGATCAATTAAAATCTATTCAAGATAATATATGTCAAATATGTGAAACAAATTAACACTCAACCAATGACTATCCAAGTTTACCTTGTTTTAGGGAATGCCTCAATGAACAAGTCCATGCTTTAAACAGTTTCTAAAGGCCCAATCATAACCCATACTCGAAAACATACAACCTTGGTTAGAGAAATCACCTAAATTTCAATTGGAAGAGTGATAACAACAATGCACAAACTTCACAACCACCGTTTCAAGCATACCATAATTTCCAAATTTCTCACGGATATACACCTCCTTATGCTCCACCTCCTAAAAGAAAATTTGAAGAAACTTTGTATGCGTTCATTGAAAAGTAAGAGACAATCAACACTCAACTTGCTCAAAGCATGACAAATTTTAAAGATACTTTTGCAAAATTGACATTTACTCTCAGTTTTCAAGAGAAAGGTAACTTTCTATCTTAACTACAACAAAATCCCTAAGGGCAATACAATGCAAATGAAAGTAGTTCTGGAAGTCAACACATGGATCAAGTCAAATCAATCATCACTCTTTGTAGTGGTAAGTTTATTGAAAAACTCACGTTTAAACCTTATGAGAAAGATGATAAGTCAATCTTTGAGGGTATCAAAAGGGGTTGAATCTGAAAATTGCAAGGAAAAGACTGATTGCCCACTAGTACTTCCATTTCCTCATGCCATGACCAATCAGGAAGCCATCGATGATGAAAAAAGCAC